AAGCAGCCGGCAACGATCATCCACCCCCAGCCTCCGTCGGGAGGGCCGGCGTGCCGGGCCCGCCGCGGCGAGGCCATGGCGCAGGCTGGGGCGATTCCTCCCTCCTCCCCGCCTCAGTGGCAGGGGCCGACTCCGGCCGGCTCGCCGAGCGCGGGCCAGGGCTGCCTGGCACATGGGTTACTGGCCATCTGAAGGGAGAGAAAAAACAGGCAGAGAGGGAATCAGGGTACATCGCACATGCTGTACCTGCACGGCTGGGCTAGGACGTACTGCTTCGGCTTTATTGCATAAAAGCGAGGGTTTTCTTTCAAACGCAGTTTCTGAAAATCTGTTGGAAGCAAGAGTGCCATCAGAATTTGGCCCCGTGTCTGGTATCACTTATTTCAGGGTAATTTGCCCAGCAGTTACATCCTAGCACATGATACCCTTTTCCCCACAAATGTCACAGCACATACATGTAAGTCACATACTTTACTAGTGCCAGTCACTGCCGCTCATTTACCTTCAGTGGGCTCCCCCCGCTCACACCAGTCCCTGGCCTGAATTGTATTTTCAATTGCAGTCTCCACTCAAAGTAGCTATTCTTCCTCGTACACAATTTAGTGCAAAATTTTTGTTTGAGGGAATACAGTTTTCACCTTTGTATGAAAAGGGAATATTCACTGCAAAATCAGAGCAGAGCTGATGATGAAATGACCTCCTGTTCTCACAAGCCAAACCCTAGATGAAGGCTGTAATCAGGCAGGACACAGCGACTTCATTTTCTGAGCATGGACAATTCACTGAAGGTTAGAGCTAGCCTGTCCCCCTCTTCCATCCACTCAAATCAACGTAGTGTCTGCATCCAGGCCATCACACGGGCTCTAAATGCACACTGAGTGCTGCAGGACGCTGCAGGAGACCAAATGACACCCACTGGACCCTAGATGGGTAACTGAGTCGTGTGTTGGAGTAGCTTTGCTAATGCCGTGCGTTGTGTGTTGGAGTAGCTTTGCTAATGCCGTGGGCGTGACCAGCAGCACAGGACCAACAGCCCTTAGTCCTTTCTGCATCAGTGACCGCATGGCAGGGCTAGACCGAGGGACTCGAGACACCCCGTTTCGCTCAGTGCAGGAACACGCGGTGCTGGCTCTCAGTGCTGGGTTTCAGACCATGGTTTTGCCATCGCCAGCAGGCATCACCTGGATGAATCAGAGATTTATAAGACATAAGCAAACTATCTGGGATGTCTTTCCGTTTTGCTTGGAGAGAAACTTCAAATAGCTTCTACATCACCTAATATGACAGATGCCGAATATGCAACATTCCCACTGACAAGAACCACAGGCTTCCCAGGAAGCGTTACCTGTTACAGCATGTAAGAGGGCTGCAGAGCTACTCAAAAGGGCAACTCAAGAAAGCAGCCACATGGCTAATAATGCACCTTCTCAGTCCTTGAAGCTGCTCAGCCAGGTGACGCCCAAGGCTTGGCTCTGCAAAGCCCAGAGCTCCCTGACCCAAACCAGCAAAGCACCCCAGAGCCAACCCTAAATATCACCACAGGTGAACCTTTGAGAAGTATTCATCAGCTGTCTCCCCTGAGATATCAGAAGGTGCATCTCAAAACCATTACAAAATTATTTCAAGAAAACATATACACATTGCCAAACTTAAAGGTGAACAAAGTAGGAGAAAACAGGAATGACAAAACAAACAAAACCCGCAACACATTGAAAGCTTAGCTGAATTCCTACTAGGCTGTAAATAATACCCTGTAACAACACTGTACAAGAGCATCAGTGGACTCTTTTTAAAAAGGTTTGGTAGTCTTCTGATTTAAAAAGGATAAAGAACATTATCCTAATCTACCTGCTTGGCTTTCAAAGCCCAAGAATTGGAGCTGATCATACAGGGCACGATCAAGCCCTATATACTAACACAACTCAGCCCATAAATGTTAAAAACAGAAAAACCAAGTGCAATTTTCAAAGTCAGGGGTTAAGTCCAAAAGCCAGTGGCTGTGCTGTCGTATGAGGCACCTGAACTGCCACGGGAAGCGAACAGTAAAGAGAACCATTCGTAACCTCACAACAAAATGTGTGCTTGTCAACGCTTTTGAGCGGTGATTTACTGTAACCATGTTTGAAACAATATCCTTGAAAAATATCAGTGAATAAAAATATCCACAAAAGATGCCAAGACTATATTATACTGCCATCCAGTTACACAAGCTAAAAAAGGTACCATTAAATATCTGTCGCTGGTCATTGTGTATTCCTCAACCACCATTTATTTTTGCCTCTGTGCTAGTCAGCCTGTTAGCTATCACGCATTTTACTTTAGGCCAAAAATGCTGTATACTATTTGGAAAGAAAAATTACTGTCCTATTTTCTCTCTTTGTATAATAGGCTTTGCTAATATTTATTTATAAGTAAATATTTGTATAAAGCTTTCTAATGATTCAGAGCCCAAAGCAATGCCCACGATAAGCATTAGAACATGTACTAATGCTGTCTATTATTCTCTTCTCCTCCATTGTCAAACATCTGTTTCATCGTAAGTTAAATTATATTATAAAGTCTTTGCAAGGTCTGTGTTATATGGAGTCTAGCACAATAGGGGTCTTCACTGCAGCATGAAGTACTATTACAATATAACCCGCACTAATAAACTAGAAGAGAGCTCAGGTATGATAAAAAAAAAAAATCTCTAATGACTTGCTTTGCTTGTCACTTCCGTGGCTCTTCGGAGAGATACACAGTGCTCTGCTCTGCCTGATCACGTAAATGCTTCACTCTTTGTATAAAAAATAGGCCACACCTCAAATGGGACATCTGACATAGCTATGGTTTGGATTGTATAGCAATGGTCATACCAGCTCACAAAGATCAAACACGAATTCACAGCTGGGGTTACAAGAGCTTTTGTAAGCAGCCAAAGCTGGTATCTCATGCACAGAGGCTCCTAAGTGAGTTTAAAGGGTCCCAGCTGGATGCAGTCTTTACAAGTTCATTCCTACAGCTGATTAGAAAACACACACAAAGCAAATGAGATCCAAATGAGTTTACGATTTCAAACCTTATCTTCAAGGTATTCAATTGCTAGGACTTATGTACATGAAAGATCAGTGAAAGCTCTGGAATGGACACCAGCAGTTTGCCTTTTCTGACACAGCTTTCTAATACACAGCAAAAAATGCCAATGCAGCTGACAGAGCTTTCTGAGCAGCCTCTGCAGGTGCCCAAATGACCCCAAGGACATCACCAGCCTCTTCACAAGCCTTGTGACATTTTGCTTGAAGTGTAAAGTTCAGTTTTTGACCTTACCTATTTGCTTCAGGACAAACATACAGCAGTACCAGTGTGTACCCGCACCCTCCTTCCCTCCTCACTATGTTATGAAACAAACTCTCTGACACAAACACAGAGAAATTGAGCTAATGCAGTAAAATAAGAAAGCACGTGTGTAGGCAAGTATAGCATTATTCACAAAATCTATGAGGGAGGCTGAAAATGCCTGCAGCCAAAAGTTAGTTAGAGGATGAGGGGCACACGATACAGAAGACACATCCATGGACTTGCCACTTGACACACACGTTCTGTATTTGCCTTCCAGCATGCACCGCTAATTTGTGAGCGGACCATACATCTCACGTGTTGAACCCATCCAGACGACAGACAATTTTGCAGGGTTTATGTTACATTTTGAGTAAGCTGACATAAAAATAAAGAACCGGTCATTAGTTCAACTAATAGGGTCAATTATACATCCCTTTCGAACTAATGACCGGTTCTTTATTTTTAACTAATAGGGTCAATTATACATCCCTTTCTGTATAGTTCCAAGCAACAACTGTCTTATTAAATATGTGCAAATATTGGATCAACAAGTTATCTGATGGCTAAGGCAGCGGTTACACGATTCTTCACGATCTGGTCATTCACTGATCCAGCATCAAGCAGTACAATTTGATGCAAACCACCACCACATCCCCGTCTACTTCAATGGAAAACAAAATCCAACACTTTGGGTGTCTGCGTCTAACCTAGCCACAAAAAAAAAGCTGATATCCAATCTAGTATGAAGCCAGAGTGGCACAAAGAGATCATACCCCGATTTGGCAATAAAGTCTCCCGTTACATCATCCTGCCAAATTCATGTAAACAAGCAGAACAAGTACCAGTGCTTTGTACCACGTGGCCACCACGCTTTGCATCTAACACTAAGGGCCTCAAAGGTGGATTTATTGTGTTATTGCAAGTTTAATATGTTCAAATGCCTGGATGACTGAATAGCCCATAAGAATCCATGACAGCCACCTGAATTAACTGGGCACTGATAAAGTTCAGATTATCTTGCTCAAGGGTTTCACTGGCAATCACAAGTAATACCGTTTGGTGGAGTTTGCATAAGCACATGATACATCACAGAGAGATGCTGAGCAATTCAGATGTACCTCTGCAGCACTTTTGCAGAGTCTTGGCAAGGCAGGGCTTCTTATTTTGGATCTGAGCAGTATCTTTCACTGCCCCTTCTGGAGGGATGAAGATTTCATTTCAAGTTCTGATTATTAAGGGTGGAGGAGGAAGTTCCAGGAATACCAGAAGGGATAACAGTAACCCTTCAATAAGCAGAAATATACACAAAATCTTTCAGAGGAGTCAACAGTCTCCACATACAGAGCCCTAACTAATTTTAATGCACATACAGCGATAGCTGGGTGCCAGGACCTCAACCTAGATCTCTGGCCCAACTTCCCAGGCAAGCTTCAGATCAGGTCTGAGACCCTAGTTAGCATTTTAGCTGTACGTTAACGTACTTGGGAAGAATTTGATGACCTATCAGGATAAGCAAACATAGATTAGGCATTTGGTTACATGGTCACTTGCTGGTACTTTCACAGAACTCTGCCTGCCAACATACACACGAACAGCAAACATTTAATGAGGTTACAAGCAACCAAAACCAACCATATTATAAGAAATGCCTGGCAAACATAGAAATAGGCCACCCAACCTCCCCATAGTAGGATCAGTGCAAACCTCACCTCCTTGACTTCACGCTCGCTTCAGGGAGTACTATACCTGTCATAGCCAC